AATATTTCCTGCAGAGTATTCGATCGGGATGGTAATGGGTTTATAACGCGCGACGAGCTGCAGACCGCCATGGAGATGATTGGGGAGCCCTTGAACGAGCAGCAGCTGGAGCAGCTGCTGGTCATCGCCGACTTGGATCAGGATGGCCGCATCAATTACGAGGGTGAGTGCAGCCGCCGACACACGAGGCACAAAGGACACTGCTGACGCAGGCGTTCGCACGGAAGGACATGTGTGCACGGCAAAAGTAGCCATCAAAATGTGTCGCAAATGCAGAAATTTATAATTCCAAACTGGAAACTGGTTGTCAAATTGGGTTACAAAATTAGCCAAATTTTATAAATCGAGATTTGGAATTGTAAGTTTGGAAAAAAACGACAAATTTCAGAATATGCCCTCGGAACGAACCTCCTGTTGTAGACAGTTCCTTTATAAAATCAGTCAAATATTTTTTTTGCATACTTTTTAGCTTAAATATCCTTAGAGAAACAAAGTAATTTTGAGATTTTTGTTGGAATAATTAAATTTTAACTGTTGCATTACTGTCGTCTTGAAACAAAATTATGTTCATATATAGTATTTTATTGAAACTATATTGGACTTAAATGCTGTTTCTTCTGTATAATTGAAAAAAGCCTCCAAAGGCTGTGATCCTATGGGTTCTGCTATGGCAAACTGGCAAACTGATGTCAATATTTGTCCTAGCCACCGAAAACCGTACGCCCATAAATCAGCTAGACAAATAAGGCGACAACAAAGTTTATTAACCTCAAGTAATAGCAACAGGAGTTCACCTAATGCGGCCGAAGGTTTATTTGTTTGTTTACTCGTAAAGTTTTTTATACCCGCTACTCGCAACCTTGCTGGGCTTATTAAGTTTTCATAGACTGAGTCTCTAGAACTAGAAGTAGTATTTTATGATTCATTTACTTAAACTAGTAGCTGTAATATTGAGCATAAAAACCATTTAATTTCGAAAATTCACTTTTTAAATATAAAGAAGTAATGAAAAATTAAGTTTTATTGAAAATGGTTTCTTGTTTGATCCAGGATTGGAGTTACAGCCTTGTTAAGGCTTTCATTTCATGATATTCAATGAATCTTTGAACAACAAAGCTTAAGACTTTTTAACAGATTTAAATGTACTCTTCAAAGATTTTCTTTTACTTCGGGCATCGTTCTTAAATATATTCTGCCTGAAAGGTATCTTCTAGTCGTACATTGTGATGAATTCCAACACTGAACTGACGTCTGGGGCTAAACTTAAGTCGCAGACATAAAAAGTTTTTGATAAAGAAAATAGCTACAAAAGAAAGAAAAAGTCCATAATGCAGTTGACCCAGAATGAAGTGGAAGCACCTCGCCGTAGAGTCCACACCCACGTATCATTCTGCACTAATGGGAAAAAAGGACAACACAGAATTCCCTTGACTGGCATTAAATTTGTTTAATAATCTTAAACTAATACGGGGACATGCTCGACTCAAGTGTCCTCTTTGTACTTGGTTTTTTTTTCTCGCTTTTTTGCTGTTTGCCCGGCTTGGCATCCCTTGTATCATTAGGTTCATATGCCATCGCCTCGCTAGTTGATACTTTGACCTTGTAACGCATTGGCATGTCAGCGCAGAACACCCAACCACCCAACAAGCCGAAAGGCCCAACCCGCAACCCGCATTTGTTTGCTGGCATCTGCAATTTATTTACTCATTTTGCTGCTGTCTTTGCCTTCACGCTATTTACTTTGCACACCGGCATCGACAACGGCCAACAATGCGTATACTTTATACGTTTGTTCGGTATACGCAACGTTGTCCGTTCCATTTTTGCTGACACTGCAGTGTTGTTTGGCCGGAGGAACAGGTCGATTGGCCGGAGCAACACGTACGCCAACCACGCCCATGAAAAAATAGTAGTTCGTTCTTTCGGGCCGTGATTACCCAAAGGCGACAGCTTATATAGTTGGCCATCTCATCTGTGAAACGTTTTTGCCTCGGTGGACAAAACTGTTAAGGGCAGTGGTCGTCCTTCTGAAAATCTGGATTATTTCCTTTAATTTGATCACTTAACTGGTAGGTGTTTTGAGGTTTATTGGTGAAGGATCTACAGCATTTAAAAACCAATGAAATTAACATACTTATTTAAATTTTATAGAAACTGTAGAATTCCTGAATTGTGGGCATTTAAATTCTTGTTTTATGAAACTTGTGGAATTCCTGAATGGGCATTTAAATTTAATATTCTAATGAAAGCCACACTAAAACCCACATTTAAAAACATAAACTGCGTTTAGGTAAATAATTTCGCGTAAAACAACCATTGTTGATTCTATTATTTAAAAGTCTTGTGTTATAAATGTTTCCTGTGTCAACAATTACATTTAATGGACTCTTTTCACATTTTATTTTCAGAATTCACGAGACTTTTGCTCTAAGCAGTTTTACGCCCGACATGGAGGCATGGTCAACTGTAACCGCGGAAGATTTCGAGTGGAATGCACCCCGAGTTACCCCTTCAGCATAATTGTTAAGCTATTAAGAATATACTCAGACAGGCAGAAAATAATAATGCAACAAAATGTGCAGAACACAATTGTTTGAAATTTTATACAAAATATAAAACTTATTTATACAAGGGTTTGACAAAAATGCAAGGCAGGCCACACAGACACATTCATAAAGTTTTCGTTTCATTCAACACCCACCCCCACACACACACACAAACATATTCATATGTAAATTAGTTTCAAAGTTTGGTCGATTGTAAAAAGTGAATTACTGTTTCATTTTCTATACGAATTATGAGAAAAAGCATTTGAAAAGTCTAAATGGAAGAGTTTAAACTAATTATGGTAGACGATTTGCGTTGAAAATTATTTAAATCACACAGAGACACACACAACATAAGCATACAACATATAAAAAGCATATTCGGATAAGTCTGAGCGCGTGAGTGATATTGTGTTTAGGGTGCTGCAAAAACAAAGAGCAAGCAAATGAAAAACTACAAAAAATAATTACAATAAAAATATATCTTAATTCGGAGGAAGTCAGCAAGTGGATTCATATATTTGTATTTTATTGTAGTTATGCTGCTTTCAATGTATGCGTGTTTCAAATACCCCAAAACAAGCAAAAATTGTTTCAAATTTGTTAGAATAAGGAAATAAATGTTAACAATTTATATAAGAAAACAAAAGATTTAATTTCAGTTGGGAAATTGTCTTGTGTAGCTGTCAAAACATCGGTGGCGTCATTTATAAAACTTTAAAGCCCACTATCAAATTACCCATATTTTGTATACTTAAAAAACAGAGCTAAAGAAAATATTATGCTTTTTATTTGATCGGATATAATCTATACTCTTAATGATTTTGTTAGCTCTCTTTTTAAGGCATAAAAATCAGATAAGGCGAACAGTAAAAATTATATTTAATGTTAATAACAACGTTAACTAACAATAACCAACATCACGAATGGAACATTTCAGAGTTCTTAGTATACTTAAATATCTAGCAAGTTTAAAATTTATTAATTTATTTTTGTTGGTTTAAAAATTTGTTTTTAGAAATTCATTGCATATTGCCGTCCCATAGATAATTCATCAAGAAACAACAAATTATTTTGTATAACAAGTAAAACTCATCGATTTAAGGCATTGCGGTTTCAAAAAAATAGTTTCGTTATTAATTTCTATGCCCTTTTTTGATACAAATTTAAAGGTGTTAAAAAGAAAACAGAAAATTAAATTTAAACAAAAAATAAATAAAACAAAAGTGCTCTTTTGAAAATCAGTGAAACGAGAATTAAAAATATATTTATATTTAAACACTTTATGGATAAAGTTGGGTAAATAAACATAAAACCAGGTCGAAGGTACAAATAGCAAAATGGGTAAAAAACAAGGAAAGCAAACAAGGAAACCACATTTTTTGTATGGTATTTACAACAGAACTGCAAAGGCAAAGCTAATTTAAACCGAGTCAAAAATCGAAAACCTAATCAAACTAAACTTTAACCCAAAATATTGAATATACCCGATAAATGTACTTCAATTCAAGTAGTTTTTTATGACCTCTAAATGTGCTTAACTATATGCAGTACTATACCTATACCTACCCAACATTATACTACTTATATACATGATTACTGTTTATGTTACGGTCAGACTAAATACTTAATATTATCTTCTATATATATAGATACTGGATAACACGAAACACACAAAAACTAAGACATTATCTGTATGAGAACTTAAAGTGGTAGATATTTGGTTTAGGTATTAATGATTTCATAATTTATAAATGCGATTGCGAGAAAAACGAGATGTGACATAATAAATAACGGTACACCAACGCTCAATAAATGTTTTATTACTAATAGTTTAAAATTTGTAGTAGGCTTCTGCAGCTTCTGTCAGTTGGAAATCTAGAAATCGTAGTACCTATAAAGTTGTGCTGTTCGGTTTGACAAACGTTTCCTAAATTTCTGGCTCTGCGCATAATATTGTGTATATTTTTTTTTTTTGAAGACTTCTAACGCGGTTAAGTTACGACAATGGGTGAACCCGAGGAAAAAGTGAGTACATCAGTGAAATTGAATCCATTTGCTTGTGTGGGAACTGCAGTTTGCGCTTCAATGCTACATATGATGCATATTCGAATAAACTCTGGTTTGTCATTAACTTTACCAAGTAAATGTTAGGTGAATACATGAAAATCAGTAATTAAATGCTCAGTAAACCCGTTAAAATATTTTTGGGTATTCAAACGCTTACAAAAAAAAAGTATCAAAAATTGATACTTTTGACATGACTGTTTTTAGTGAAAAATCATATTTAAAGGTTTTTGATTGTAGGATAAAGTATATAATTAATAATATCATGAGTAATAATAAGTACCATGACTATTCATTAAAAAATCAAAAATACTAGAAGTGCAAAAACGCTTTTTTAGATTTCTCACGAATGCGTTGCGATATATCGATTTCGTCGATATCCACTATCGCTAAAAGTCCACCACTGAGCTCACGAGGAGCAGCACGGTATAAAATCAATTTTTATTGAAATTTTAAGCGACTGCGAACGAAAATTCCGCTAAGGCTCAATTAAATGCCAATGCGAACAGCATTTTGCGATCAATTTCCGTGATAAGTTCTGTAAGGGACCTTTCCAGGGGTGGCTATAAGGACAAACCCTAGATTTTCCGAGCGTGTGCGTTGATTTTAAGCCGCAAAAGTGGATACCGAAACAGTGAAAATCGAGGATTTGATGGACTCTGATCCTGAAATCGAGTTCATTGAAAAGGACAGCGGGATGTCATCGTTAGGCGGCAGCAAGGACGAAACGCCCGAGCGGCGCGCAGTGGCAGCCGTAAGTAAAAAACGTGGAGGCCCCTCGGAAACCCCCTCCGTATTCCCGATTCCCCTCAGTTCTTATCGTGCTCACGTAATTGTCGGTCAATCGCAGCAGCTGTCCCACAGAAGCGACTTCTTGATGCCCTGTACTAATCATCTTCTTTTCCCCTGCTTTTTTACAGACTTCAAATGAGCCACAAGGCGAAAATTACGATGATGTAAGTGGACCTGTTTGTAAACACAACATGCAAACTAACCTCAAACTTGAGGAGCATAAAGCCCACCATAAGGACTTTATTGAAGAAGAATTGTCCTTTTTGTATCCTTACTTTGAAGGGTTTTAACTTAATTTATAAATTTAATTTATATATTATTTGGTTAAGAAATCTGCTGTTAGCCAAAACGTGCTAGTACGTTAAAAAAGGTCATTGTCACTATGTATGTGAGTTTTCATTCTTTCTTTCTTTTTTAATGAAGAACTATGCCTTAAGTTTATTCAAATTCCTGTTAAGACAACAATAGAAACAAGCAAGTTGATTGTTAAAGACATTTTCATTATTGGCCCTAAGTATAGGTCATTTAAAAAATTTTTTTTTTAATATAACTGAATTGTAGACTAAATTCCTTAGTTCATTATAATATTTTGATTATTTTGATACTTATTTGTGGAGTTTTATCCAATACGTTAATCTGATAAAGCTCTTCTTCAGGGAGGCTTAAATTAATTTTTTTATACTAGTGAAGAATAGTACTAAAAATGTTTGAAATTTCTAACTCTGCACTTTAACCCAGTTCAAACAGAAACCCACATCACATTTACAAAAGCATTCTGCTTGAAGTTTTAATGCTTTTGTTAATCATCAAGGCTTAAGTCCTTTTCTCTGCCATCTTTGTATCTTAGTATAGAAATGTACTAAGATAAAATAAAATACGCAATTTCTTATACCCCTCTTCATGCCATTTCCCACAGGAACCCGAGGAGTCGGCGTCCGAGCGAATCTGGGGCCTGACAGAGATGTTCCCGGAACCACTGCGCAACGCGGTCGGAGCTGTGAGCAAAGCCACTGTGAACGGCGTCAAGGGATTCTACACGTTCTCGTGCAACGCCAGCTGGATATTCTTCACCAGCTCGGTGATCCTGTTCGCACCGGTCATCTTCGAGACGGAGCGCGCCCAAATGGAGGAGCTGCAAAAGTCGCAGCAGAAGCAGGTGCTCCTCGGACCCAGCAGCGCGATGGGCCCTGGAGGATCCTCGCCCAGCTTACCCTTGATTCGTTAACCGAGAGACACCCTACACCCTACCACATACGCATATTAGCTCTACGAAAACCGGCAGCGGAACTCCGGAAATTGCCACACGTTAGCTTAAGTTTGTCGATACCAATCAATCCCAGTCGAAATCGAGAGGTTGAGGACGTCCCCCGAATGGCCGAAGCTATTGCGCCAGCAATAGCACCCCAAAAGTAGTCACCCATCATCAAATGCCACTCCATAGCCCAGCATTTACACATCCACATTCAAGGAACTCCCTTCCGGTCCAAGGAAACGTCGTCCTCTTCGATCGAAGCGAACAGTTGCAAAACTTCAGATAGGTGTTAGCATTGTAGTGGCGTACAGTGTATAAACAAAGCAACCACTACGGTTTAAACCAATTAATAAAACTACGTTTATTAATAGTTAAAATTCCAGTTGTCCAAGTTTTGTTTTCATGTGTTTGCTGTTCATGATTATAATATTGTCTTATGTTATTCTGAGTATTGGAGGGTAACATAATTTAAAGACAGTTCTAAGCAAAAATGCTAGTATTTTTCATAATTTCAACTGATTTGTCAGTTTTTAAGCCCACACAAATCAAACCAAACTAAAAAGAATCGTGGATTGAAGATCTGATCATACTTTAAACATGGAATTATCAAATCTTGGTTTCATTATTGATTTGAAAGCTAATCAATCATATTAAGAGTTTAAGTAGTAACCCAAAAAACTGAAAGTATAATGGATATTCTCCATATAAACGTAAAAATAATTTTATTTAGATTCAAGCACTTACTGCAAGCCTAGGGACTCCCCAGATATTCCCTTGGAATCGGATGGTCCGTGAAATAACGCCGGAACTCGCCAGCATACTTGTTGCGCAAGTTGCGCTCCCCGAATTCGTTAAAACGCTGGGCCAGGAACACAAAAACATCCAAAACTTTGGCATGAGCTGAGAGCTTCTTGAACGATTTAGCGGCTCGCTCCAAGATGTCCAGGGACTTGAGGAGCTGCGCCTTTCGCTCCTCCACATTGTTCTGACTGATGGCCAGCAGGCAGCGAACGAACACAAAATCTGTTTTGGCCCGCTCGTAAAGACCACCATTGATGTGGATGTCGTGCATGCAGCGCTTTATGGCCTGATAGGCTTTCTGCGGCATTCCGAGGAGCAGAAGTTGCTGGGACAACAGCAGGTCCACCAAGGCCAACTCGTAATCCATCTGTGAGTCAGCCATTTCCTCGGCCACGCGCAGCAGAAGCATAGTGGTTTCGCTTGAAAAACGACCATCCGCCATGCCACAATAGCCAAGCAGGACTTGAACCCGCATTTTAAGGAGGAAAGGCAGGTTTTCCTGCGTGGCCAGCTTGTCCAGCAGGCGCCTGGCATTGAAGAACTCCCTTTTGGCAACGTATATCGAAGCCCTTTGCATTATGGCATCCGAGGAGTCTAGCAAATACAGCTGATCACAGGCTTTCAAGGCATCATGCCAGCGACACTGGTAAATGCCCGCTTGGATGACCACATGGCATTGGCTGATCATCCAGCTCTCGGCGCTGGGCATACGTGGAAAACGCTCCTTAGCCCGATGCAGCAGCACTTTAGATAGTTGCGGCTCCCCCTGCAACTGAAGCCACAGGGCGTAGCTGGCTAAAGCGCTGCCCAGACCCGAAGATCCGTTGCCAAAACGATGGCGGGCTGATAGTAAAACCTGGGAGTACAGGGCAGCCAGTTCGTGCCTTCCATAAGCTGACCACACGGCACTCCTTAGGGCCAAAGCCTCCGAAGAGTGGTCTGGAAAGTTGTTAAGATTGGTGAGATTGTCGCTGTGCTGCAGGAGATCGAAGAGTTTCAAGGGCTGATAGCCAGCCACTGTTCCCAGTTTTACGGCAAAGTGCAGGGCCAAAGTGTAGTTCTGCAGCAAAGACCTATCCACTTCGTTGGCATCCTGCACACTCTTTTGCACAGCGGACAAGGGCAGCTCATCCCTGAGCAGGCAGTACCAGGTATTGGCCAGATTGAGACTCTTTTTGTCGCCGTGCTCCTGGGCCAACATAATGCTTTCCCTGAGCGCCACTAGCGCTTCATCGCGATGACCAAAAGTGGCATGCAGCACTGCCAAATTGACGCAGAAGTACTGATAGCCCTTCTCCTGGCTCATCAGCCTCACGGGACTGCGATCCAAAGCTCTGTGCAGAGCAGAGAGTGCGTTATTGTAGTCCCTCACCCTCAACTGGTTCATGTAGCCCAGGAAATAGGGAGTGGTTGTGAGTGGCAGGTCGTGTATGATCTCCTGGATCTTCTTTTGCAGCTCCAAAGGCGGCAAAGCCATCCGCTCATTGCTCTCCAGCAGTACCGACTGCTTGTTGATGAAAAACTTGGCCTGTTTTGGCGCCCATTTGCTAAGCGGATTGCGTTCTAGAGCTTCGATCTCGTCTTTCTTTACAGTTTCAGGATCTGCAGGCTTTTCCGTAACAGGATTTGGAGGTGGAGTCTCTTCCCGGTGGAGTATGCCACCAGCTACGGCCATTCTCGAGCCAGAGGCTGCTGCACGAACTCCTCGCTCGTAATAGGAGCAGATGTTCTTGTACATATCCATCATTTCGGGGAAACTGAGGCGTTCCAGGACCACGCCCACTCTGCGCACATAAACGCCCACCATGCTGAACTGGCTTATGCCGTAGTTCTCGTTTAGAATCTCATCGATGTTCTGGATCTCAGTGAAATCAAACAGGGACTCAATGCTGCCCGCACAGAATTCGGCCATGGCCTTTTCGAAGGATTCCAGCATCAGGGTGTCCAGTTTATATCTGCCCGTGGTCAGCAAACTGTGCAGCTCATTGTAGCTCTTATCGGCCTCCTGGACCAGCTTGAAGACAAGAATATAGAACATGCGACGTCGCTGGGAGCCCATGGATACGCCGGTGTCCAAACAGGACTTCTTATTCTATGGAAATGTAGTAATGGGTAATATCAGGTTTTGGGGTCTGTAAACTTGGGAGGCACCTACGATCACATATTGCTTCAGCAATATCAGCACGGCTATCTTGTGCGCCGTGGGTGTTTCAATGCGGGGTGGCTCGATTTTGGAGGAGGGCTCCAACGTGTCCAGCTCCTCAAACAGATTCATGATTTAATTTTCAATTTAAGTGCACAGATTACTTTTCCTGTTTGCCGGCAAAACGTAAACAATAAAACCAGCAGCCGCAGCCAACTTAGCTTCGTTACAGATGACAAGCAGTTGAGAAAAGTTGAGCTTTCAGCCATCTGGCAACTCTAGAAGGCGCGTGTTTTGAATATTGGTTTATTACAATTGGAAATACAATCAGAAGGCGCGTGTTTTGAACATTGGTTAGTTCCACTTGGAAATAAAATCAGACGTTTATATAAACATGAAATAAATAAATATATTGCTTGGTTTATATATTTATTTAAATATTAAAGCCAAAAAAATTGAGCAAAATGTAACTATATATCATTAAGCTCCAAACTAGAGCTGCGCCTTAGATTTGTTCAAATTTCTGGGCACCTGGCGCACCCAAATAAACAATAACTGATTACGCGCGCTCCATCGAACTGCCCATACGATCAAAGTCCATAAAGCGACGAAATATGCACATGCCAACCGTAAACCGTACGCTTCTCCAAATTGTATTTGCTTTAAATCAACGAAAGCACAAAGTTCACTAGACAACTACCCGGTTAAACGCTAGCCAAAATGTGTAAATGTGTAATGTGGAATAGGTAATTGGTAATACAGCGAATGTGTGTGTCGCGGGGACTTCCATCCTACAGAGCCTACAGGACGAACGGGAAGATGGAGCGGCGCTGGCGTGGATAGTCCTTGAACTCCTTCCTGTAGTTGCGGTGCTTGGCCAGAGCCCACACGGTCATCTGGAAAGCTCCGGCGAAGGCGAACAGATAGGCGGCCAGGCAAGAGGTCAGCACGGAGAAGGAAACCCAGGCACCGATCTCGTATGTGTAGTTGGGGCACGAAACCAAGCTGGAGTTGGGAAAGTGCCAATTAAAATACTAGTTTGGATAAAGGTTAATACTATCTATCTACTCACTTGAACAGCTTGGTCAGGGGATTGGCATCGGGCACGGGAATCTTGCGCACTTTGGTTCCCGGTGGACGCAAGTTACGCAGGGCAATGTGCACCGAAAAGTTGCCCAGTTCGCAGAACTGAAAGTCGAAAATCAAGTAAGAATAAAAGTTGGGAAAATATGGGAATATGACGACTAGTAATGGAAAACTTAAAGACTTATCAAAGTATTGATATGCAATTATGATGATTCATACATTGTTTTCAGTTTTTTATGCTTTCTTATCACCTAACGTTTTAGTCATTATTTCAATAAGTAGTAAAGATGAAGAATGCCTAGTATTCTGGTAATAGATTTAATTATGTTAATGCGATTGGTAAAATTAAAAACAAATAAAAATAAAATGCATAAACTATAACCTGCATTTCAACAAATTTTGAGGATGAACAACATTTAACATACTTACAAAAGAAATAAAAAATATGCTTCTAAACTAATTAATATTTCATAAATAAAGCATATTGCTTTCAAAATGCCAAATATTTTGTAAGCTTCTGTAAAATATTTAAACTGCTTAGTAATGACTTAATTTTATTAACTTAAATCATACACAACAAATATTATCGAATTGTATATAAACATTAAACCATTTTAAAGGATTTTAAGTGAGTAATTTCATGATATGCACACTAATTAGTTAAAACTTTTCTCACATATCTTGTTAAATAATTATATTATAAATTTAAAGTGACATACACCTTATAAAAATGACCAATTTAATAAGTAACAAGTGTTTATTAATGTAAATTTATGTTGTTACTGCTAAAATAGAAGAATTTTGTTTTGGAAATCATTTGGCTTTGAGAGGGTTTTAAGATTAAAAAAATACCCATTTATAGTATTTTGTCATCCGAATCCAAACCCCAAAATACTTACAGCAAAAGCGCCGAGAGCTGCCCAAACAGTGCACATGCAGGGCGAGGTGAACTGCGGATGGTTCACGTGGTAGGACACATAGGCCGTGAATCCCCAGTAGTAGGTGCAGTTCTTGAAGAGATTCCTCAGCGGCATGGTGGCATGGGAGAACCGGTGGACGAAGATGGTCTCCAGTAGACGCTTCACATAGTGGACCGTATAGCAGCCAGCGGCGATACTACAAAATATAAAGAAAAGAAAGTGGGTTACTGGGTGAACCAACATCCAAAGTTCGTGGATAATTATGCAGAGCTGTTGCGTTTTAGTTTGCATAAGCGACGAGGTCAATTCGGTCGGAAATCGAATGAAAGATTTCAGCGACTTTCTAATATACTCACTGGGTGGTGAGGGAAATCGGCAAAGTGGCCGACTTGCCGTAGATTAACTCCGGCCGGAAATAGAAAATCAAGTATACGATCAGGGGACCGGCGTATTCGGCGAGAAAGACGGTTTTCCAGCCAATCTGGGGACCCAGATCCTTCACATAAACCTTATCACCGGTTCGCAGGGATAGGGATTCCAATGTGTCCGTATCCTTCAGACTTTTCCCCTTCAGCTCCAATCGCAGCGATTGCCGATTGGCATCCGGCGTTTGCTTCAAGCTCTTGTGGATTAGGGCGCGCAGATCCCCGATGGGCGTGGCGCCGGAGGGCACCTTCACCTTTCCATAGGGCTTGCTGTTCTTCGCGTTCACTATCTCCAGCTCCATTTTGCGTCCGGTCCGCGCTTGCAATCTATAATGTCCGAAATCGAAAGCTGGAAAAAAATCGCCGATAGCAGGTGGGCCGGGTGTGACCGTATCTGGGGGGTAGAAAAATCCACTAGCTCTGGAATGGTCACATAATTAAGTGGCATTAAATTTATTTCTTTGCTGATTTGCCAGGTAAATTCGACTATATCAACACCTAAACTTACTAAAGCTACTTAAAAATAAACTACGAAAAAAATTCTTTTTTATTTAAAAAACGGGAGTTAAAAGTTTTATGACAAACAACTACGAGTAGTGATGAATAGAGCCGATTTCAACAATGGAAATTTAAAACTTTTAAGTAAATGAAGACTGGATTATGAATTAAATGTATTTAAAACATGCCTTTTATAAACAAAGTTTTTATAAAAATATTAAATACCAAATTAATATAAGCGACGGCAGATATTTGAATTTTTACAAATAAATTTAACAAGGTAAATACAAAATTTTTATGAGTGTCAAGACTAGATTATGGAATAATATTATTAAAAAGATTTTACAAATAACTTTTTGATTTATAAAAAGGGATTCTAAAGAATTAATTTTTGTCTGATTTCTACAGTAATCATAATTAATGTTTATTTCCAAAAGGGTATAAAATCAAAACTATTTTTAAAGCAGTCGTTGCTTCGACAGTCATCACATCACACTTTCAATACACATTTACACAAAATTTATTCAAAATTGTCCAGTCAAGCTGCGTTTTTAAAAATAAATTTGCCGGTAAAGAGTACAGTGTCAAATAAAGGCAAAGTAGCAAAGGTACAGGCGAATACTACAACTGTTTTGAACAAAACTTTGGAATTCGGTAAGTGTAGATCTAATCTTCCTGTGAAATTACTGTCAATGTCAAAATTTTCTTCAAGTGATCAAAGTCAGTACGGTATCGAGGTCTTTTTTAAAATTGTTCCTTAAAAATATTTTTACTCTGCATTGTGGTGAGTAAGCAGTGAAAAAACCTTGAAAATTCAGCGTATAGGAAAATACGTATCACTATATACTTATATTTACGCGAGTCAAAAATCATTTGTCACGAACAGCTTATTCATATTATTTGAAATTCGAAAGGATGTTTTACTGAAATTTGGTTAGTTAATATATTTTCGGTAACATATATGTAGAATATAGTAAAGTATGTTTCTTGTGAATTTTCAGCAATTCAGAGATTCAGACGTTTCGGAAATACCTGAATTATTTAATTTCCTTAAAATGTAATTGGTGTTCAATAAATTTCAGTGTAGTGGCGTATTTTAAAACAAAGTAGCAATTTTTAGTACATTTTTTTGGAGACCGAGGGTATAAATTGCTCTTCCGCGAACGGTCTCACTTAAAATCAATCTGACAATTGCAGCAGCAAGTACAAGCGTAAAATCAAACGAACTCATATAAAGTATATATTATTTAATTTGTTGGTGATTAAAAAAAGAGGAGAATACCTTCGAAAGTTACAAGAAAACGTAAGTTTTTAAGCTACTAACCGTCTTTATAACAAAAAAAAGGCCGTAAATAATGCAGAAAAAATGCAGTTCAAGGTCTTTGTTCGGCCATTTTGTTTTTTCTTACTCAACCCTCTGCGGAATCAGAAAATTAGAAATTGGCAGCTACGCATTTCTTATTTAACATTAATTTGGCATCAAAATACAAACAAATCTATAAATAAAACTTGCGTGTTTATGCTTTTTCGCCAAGATGGCAATGGTGAAATTCGCAGTGACGCCACTGAAAATTCGAGAAGTCACGCATACAAACACGCATTTGAGTGATTGCAATACTAGTTTAAGTAACTAAAGCAATTGCTAGAAGTAAATTTGTTTTTTAAGCTCAAATAAAAATCATTATGCTAATAAGGCCACGTCTGAAAATTTTAAATTACTTGCAACGACGTGACGTCATCAGTATACATACGAAAAATAAAAGTGTATGTATGCATTTTGAGCTGCGTATACATGTACACTCACACAACGATACAAAAGTGACAAAGCAACGGAACAACGGTTTCTCAACTTCCCTTTGTTTCCCTCTTCGTTTCCTTTTGTTACAATAATCGGAAAAACGGGAAAAAAAGTCAAAACGATAATATTAAATTTGAACTTCAATAGAAAGCAGGCGTTGATTAATTCGTATACTCATTTCGATTAGTCAGACAGGGAATTTCATTAGTTGTGTAAATTTCAACCAACTGAAAAGGTCTAACTTTATACTGATTTTCCATCTCTCGAATTTCTACCTGCAGAATAAATCAAAATGCAGATCTTTGTGAAGACCTTGACTGGCAAGACCATTACTTTGGAGGTCGAGCCTTCCGATACGATTGAGAATGTGAAGGCCAAGATTCAGGACAAGGAGGGCATTCCCCCAGATCAGCAGCGACTGATCTTTGCCGGCAAGCAGCTTGAAGATGGCCGTACTCTTTCCGATTACAACATTCAGAAAGAATCCACCCTTCACTTGGTTCTCCGTCTCCGTGGTGGCATGCAGATCTTCGTGAAGACCCTGACGGGCAAGACCATCACTCTGGAGGTTGAACCTTCTGATACCATTGAGAACGTGAAGGCCAAGATCCAGGACAAGGAAGGCATCCCCCCAGATCAGCAGCGTCTCATTTTTGCTGGTAAGCAACTGGAGGATGGCCGTACGTTGTCGGATTACAACATCCAGAAGGAGTCGACTTTGCACTTGGTGTTGCGTCTTCGTGGTGGCATGCAAATCTTCGTAAAGACCCTTACCGGTAAAACCATCACTCTGGAGGTTGAACCTTCTGATACCATTGAGAACGTGAAGGCTAAAATTCAGGACAAGGAGGGAATTCCTCCAGATCAGCAGCGTCTCATCTTCGCAGGAAAACAGTTGGAAGATGGTCGCACTCTTTCCGACTACAACATCCAGAAGGAGTCTACCCTTCACTTGGTTCTTCGTCTGCGAGGTGGTATGCAAATCTTCGTGAAGACCTTAACCGGAAAAACCATCACTCTGGAGGTTGAACCTTCTGATACCATTGAGAATGTGAAGGCCAAGATTCAGGACAAGGAGGGCATTCCCCCAGATCAGCAGCGATTGATTTTTGCCGGCAAGCAGCTTGAGGATGGACGAACCCTATCCGACTACAACATCCAAAAGGAATCGACCCTTCACTTGGTCCTCCGTCTTCGCGGTGGCATGCAGATCTTCGTGAAGACCTTAACTGGCAAGACCATCACCCTTGAAGTTGAGCCCTCTGATACCATTGAGAATGTGAAGGCCAAGATTCAGGACAAGGAGGGCATTCCCCCAGATCAGCAGCGTTTGATCTTTGCCGGCAAACAATTGGAGGATGGCCGTACTCTTTCCGACTACAACATCCAGAAGGAGTCTACCCTTCACTTGGTTCTTCGTCTGCGAGGCGGTATGCAAATCTTCGTGAAGACCCTGACTGGCAAGACCATTACACTGGAGGTTGAGCCCTCTGATACCATTGAGAACGTGAAGGCTAAAATTCAGGACAAGGAGGGAATTCCTCCAGATCAGCAGCGTCTCATCTTCGCAGGAAAACAGTTGGAAGATGGTCGCACTCTTTCCGACTACAACATCCAGAAGGAGTCTACCCTTCACTTGGTTCTTCGTCTTCGTGGTGGCATGCAAATCTTCGTGAAGACCCTGACCGGTAAAACCATAACTCTGGAGGTTGAGCCCTCTGATACCATTGAGAACGTGAAGGCCAAGATCCAGGACAAAGAGGGTATTCCCCCAGATCAGCAGCGTCTCATTTTTGCTGGTAAGCAACTGGAGGATGGCCGTACGTTGTCGGATTACAACATCCAGAAGGAGTCGACTTTGCACTTGGTGTTGCGTCTTCGTGGTGGCATGCAAATCTTCGTGAAGACCCTGACCGGTAAAACCATCACTCTGGAGGTCGAGCCCTCAGATACCATTGAGAATGTAAAGGCCAAAATTCAGGACAAGGAGGGCATTCCCCCAGATCAGCAGCGTCTCATTTTTGCTGGTAAGCAACTGGAGGATGGTCGCACTCTTTCCGACTACAACATCCAGAAGGAGTCTACCCTTCACTTGGTTCTTCGTCTTCGTGGTGGCATGCAAATCTTCGTGAAGACCCTGACCGGTAAAACCATCACTCTGGAGGTTGAGCCCTCTGATACCATTGAGAACGTGAAAGCCAAGATCCAGGACAAGGAAGGCATCCCCCCAGATCAGCAGCGTCTCATTTTCGCTGGTAAGCAACTGGAGGATGGCCGTACCTTGTCGGACTACAACATCCAGAAAGAGTCCACTCTGCACTTGGTGTTGCGTCTTCGTGGTGGCATGCAAATCTTCGTGAAGACCCTGACCGGTAAAACCATCACTCTGGAGGTTGAACCTTCTGATACCATTGAAAACGTAAAGGCCAAAATTCAGGACAAGGAGGGCATTCCCCCAGATCAGCAGCGTCTCATTTTTGCTGGTAAGCAACTGGAGGATGGTCGCACTCTTTCCGACTACAACATCCAGAAGGAGTCTACCCTTCACTTGGTTCTTCGTCTTCGTGGTGGCATGCAAATCTTCGTGAAGACCCTGACCGGTAAAACCATCACTCTGGAGGTTGAGCCCTCTGATACCATTGAGAACGTGAAAGCCAAGATCCAGGACAAGGAAGGCATCCCCCCAGATCAGCAGCGTCTCATTTTCGCTGGTAAGCAACTGGAGGATGGCCGTACCTTGTCGGACTACAACATCCAGAAAGAGTCCACTCTGCACTTGGTGTTGCGTCTTCGGGGTGGCATGCAAATCTTCGTGAAGACCCTAACTGGCAAGACCATTACACTGGAGGTGGAGCCATCTGACACCATTGAGAATGTGAAGGCTAAAATCCAGGACAAGGAGGGAATTCCCCCAGACCAGCAGCGTTTGATCTTTGCCGGCAAGCAGTTGGAGGACGGACGCACTCTGTCCGATTACAACATCCAGAAGGAATCGACCCTTCACTTGGTGCTCCGTCTACGCGGAGGAATCCAGGCTTAAGCTGAACACATTTCCAAATAAACACAATTCTTAGCACCGACACTGAACCCGAAATTCGTTTAATATTCAATAGTTACTATATGGTCACGCCTCTTTCTCTAAATTTGAAAGAGACGGGCATATCAAAATTCCAAATTTCAGTACAGACCAGGATTTCACTACTTACTGCTTAAATAAATCCAAATTTTCTTTTCAAATTCATAATACACACAAAATAAATGAGCAATTGTTTAAAACTGGTTGTTTTTAATGGGTGTTGATTTTTAAGTCAAGCAGTGCAAATAAAAATACCAACAATACTAGATTTAGTTGTTGCATCCCTGGTTGGCCACAAAGAAGGCGTTAGTACATATTTATTATTTACCTTTTGCGAAACTTCATTTTATGGGAAACTGGTGAAAAATGGCTAAATTACTGCAGCGGGTGGAAATTACGCTGCGTAGTTTTTACGTATTTAACTCGAGTTTTGGTGAGCAAGAAGGCGAGGTGGGTTTTTCTGGACTTGACGATAAGAAAACGCCCCCTAAATGAGTAATTTTCTTGCAGGAACACAAGAAAGTTTTGTACTACCATCCAAATGACATTGAATTAAACACGAAAATCAAAGATGTGGGGCTAAGTGAGGCCATTATAAGGTTTACAGGGTATTTATGGGACTTTAAACTTCAGTGTAAATGAGTAAGAGTAATTAATTAGCTGATTTTCCAGAACTTTTGCCTCCGAAGATGACTGTCAAGCGTTGCACACCCAAAAAACCACGCAACTTTTTTACCAACCTGAGCCAGGATATTGGATTGTTTTGGTTTTAAATGTTCCCAAGGAGGTGCGTTTGAAGGATGGAGTTGAAGTGGCCGATTATCGAGGTGCTGAGATCTCCGACAGGATTTATAGAGCCATCCTACGACATTGCTATCAAATGTTTCACTTCCAACATGGTAGCTTCTCCTCTTTTGCATCTGAGGAAACTAACAACGATAAACGAAGGGAACTACTCTGCCAGGAGCTTCTCCATTTCTATGGCCAGCACTTGACCAACTTAAAGGATCCCTCGCACTGTGATATCATTGACATGATGCATTCTATACAATATCTTCCCCTGGATAAATCACTCTTTTTGCGGGCCCAGAATTTCGGAATGCTGGGTGAGACCTTCCCTGCCATCAAGGAGTGCATAATGCTCTACCAGGAGCAGGTCCTTTGCGGCGGAAAACTCAACCCGGATGATCTGCACAGCCTGCATTCGTATGTGGTGCAGCATGTGCTAAAAGTGGAGGCCAGTAGCTCATCCATTGCCGTGAGTCCTTCGCTTAAAAGGAGCATTAGTGAGTGTCAGGTTGGCGGATTTGTGAGGAGCCAAAAGAAAGGTCGGGATGAAGGTCAGGAGGAGGCGGACAACCTGGAGGATCATCCACTGAAGGTCCATGTCATGCTGGAAACCAAACAAGTGAAGACCTACTACCTGCTCATCTATCGTGCGTTGCACATAACTCTCTGCCTGTTTTTTGATGGTACGTGTATACATTATAATGAAAACTTCAATTAATTAATATTAATATTGTAAATTCTAGAATGTAGACTACACGTGGCAAAAAAATCCTTAATCATCCTTTTTTAATTGCTAAAAAATCTCTAAATTTCAGCGGACCAACCTGCACCCAAACAAGAGCTATATGATGAACTCCACGCCTACATGGCTCCCCAATTGACATCCCTAGCACGGGACATCACCAGTGAGCTGACCAAGGAGGCAGTGGGTGCCACCGGCCAGGAGATCTCTTCCGGCAACAGCGAAAATGCACCCAAATATCTGTTTATCAACGAACAGAGCTTGCAGCATCATACGAACCTGCAGAGGCACTTGCCCCAGGGACTTCCCCGCAATGTGCTCAGTATCATTGCAGATCTGGCCAATCCCAGTGGCAGGGAGCAGGAGATGGAACCGGCCGAGGAGCTCCAGGTGAAGACCACCAACGACTATTGGATTGTGAAGAGGCGCTGCAACTACAGGCAGTACTATGTGATCCTGTGCAACAGCAAGGCCACGCTACTCGACGTCACCCAGGAAGCGAGACGCATTTTCGAGCAGGAGCTCACAGATGATGTATTTTTTGACAAATAAACAGCAGGATCAGATACAGAATGGGAGTGCGCCAATTGTGGTTGGTTTGCCCCGATCCCTGCCAGCAAAATCGGCATGTGGATGGGGCATCCGAAGACATGTTTCAAGCCAGCACGGCCCCGGAATCGCTGGCATCGTTGTAGACACTATTGGAAGAAGAGGAGCTCGTCGTGGTCGTGGTTGTAGCGGCTCCTCCATTTTGGGATTTGCTGATCTTCACTATATATATGCGACGATTGGACATGCAGATGCTGTAGTAGTGCTGCTCGTAGTCGATGGTGATCCTTTCGCAGCTCGAGTTCGGCATGAAGGACTCGTCGATACTGTGGAAAAAAGGAGTGCGATTGCATTAGTAAGTCCTTTGTTTTACTTGGGAAAAGCAACCTTTCTGTGAGATTTAGAAGACCCATTATCACATTTGCACTGCGCTCATCATTTTTCAGTTCTCCTCCGGACTCCAGAACTGCCCCATCCTCTTTTAAAATGAGGTAGCCTATTTGATTGGGCACAATCAACTTTTCTCTGTCCATTTTCCAATAATAGATTTATTTATTTATCTTTTGCACTGGACCCACACCCGTGGTACAAGTGTGACCAGAGAACAATTTAATTATGCAGTTAACGTTAGTTTGAGTTAGTGCAGTCTGGTAACACGTAAATTTAATTAAAAGTTTAATTGTTTTGAATTTATACAAATTTTACAATCTTAAATAATTTGAAACATTTTTTAGAGTTTTTCAAGATTAAAGTGTGAGAATGTTTTTTATTTTATTTCACAATTTTTCCGACCTAATGAAGGACTACAAGAAAATTCATTAAAAAAAAAGAAAATGTTACAATGTTACTCCATTTTGTTTTAAAAATGTTTATGAACAAGTGTAGGAATCTGTTTGGTTGCTTTCTCTGTTAATTTAAACGAAGTAATGTAATTACACTAAAAAAAACCTTTGCACTGCTTGAAAAATACTTAGTTCTATTTATACTTGACAGCCCTATTCCTAGTGTTGGAAATCGCTTAATTGCGCGCCATTGACACAAATTTGAAATTGGGACACCGGGCTAAGGTTAATGCATTCAAAAGACAAACAACGCACATCAACAGGAAACTAAAACTCCGGCTCTAAGTCAACAGGGGCGTGGTCGATATGGAGGCGTTTCCAAGAGCATGGCTAATGTTTTCGTCTGGCGGAAAAGTTTTAAAAGGCCATGAAAAAAGGAATTCCGGACACAGTCTCTCCGGAATGGCCAACTACTATCGACGCAAGAAAGGCGACGCGGTGTTTTTGAACGCCAAACCTTTGAATAGTGCCAATGCCCAGGCATATTTGTATGGCGTTCGCAAGTACTCCATTGGATTGGCGGAGCGTTTGGATGCGGACTACGAGGCTCCACCGGTGGATAGGAAAAAAAGCTCGGACAGTACGGCCTCTAATAATCCGGAATTTACGCCAGTTAGTAAAGCTAACTACTATAAAAAATCCATTTTAAAGAGTAACATCTTTGTTTCCAGAGTGTTTTCTACAGAAACATAGCTCCTGTCAACTGGTTCTTAAGGATTATTGGTGTATTACCCATCGTTCGACGTGGTCCTGCCCGTGCCAAGTTCGAAATGAGCTCTGCCTCGTTTATTTACTCTGTGGTTTTCTTTCTGCTTTTAGCGGTGAGTGTGTTTTTATATAGAAAAATAGTGTTTAAACCTTTTATGCCTCAAAAATGGAATCTTAAACATTAAAAGGTTGCTAACAAACAAAATATCCTATAAAAAAATACAATCCATTTCTTGTTTTGTAACATTCTCGTTCAATTAACATTTCAGTCTTAATAGTTATATAATTGTAGATTTCTCTTCCCAATTATATTTTAATTTCGTTAGAGTTTAACACGAATTCTGGAGATTAATTTGAAATTTTAAACGGTATAGGTTGTTGAGAAAGCTATTTTTAATTGTTTAGTATCCTCAGGGTTGTGCAGTTGATTGAAATTTAGATTTCATATGTTATGTAATTTTCTTAGAACAAATTTCATGAAAGTTGATAGAGGAATATTTTTAATTAATTTTTTATTTAAGTTTGGTAGATAAACGTCTGTATTATTATAGTCTAACATTAGTAATACCTCCCCCAGTGTTATGTAGGCTACGTGGCGAACAACCGCATCCACATTGTGCGATCCCTGAGTGGACCCTTCGAAGAGGCGGTGATTGCCTACCTGTTCCTGGTCAACATCCTGCCCATAATGATAATACCCATCCTGTGGTATGAGGCCAGGAAGATAGCCAAGCTCTTCAACGATTGGGATGACTTCGAGGTGCTGTACTACCAGATCTCGGGTCACAGTTTGCCCCTAAAACTGCGACAGAAAGCGGTTTATATAGCCACCGTGTTGCCGATTCTCTCAGTTTTATCGGTGGTCATCACGCACATTACCATGTCGGATTTGAACATCAATCAGGTGGTGCCCTACTGCATTTTGGATAATTTAACTGCCATGCTGGGGGCCTGGTGGTTCCTGATTTGCGAGGCAATGAGCAACACGGCGCATCTTTTGGCGGAACGTTTCCAGAAGGCATTGAAACACATTGGACCCGCTGCCATGGTGGCGGATTACCGGGTTTTGTGGCTCCGATTGAGCAAACTAACCAGGGATACTGGAAACGCCTTGTGTTACACTTTCGTGTTCATGAGCCTCTACCTATTCTTCATCATCACTCTGTCGATTTATGGTCTAATGTCTCAACTCTCTGAGGGATTTGGCATCAAGGACATAGGTCTTACCATAACAGCTTTGTGGAACATTGGACTACTCTTCTACATCTGCGATGAGGCTCATTATGCTTCGGTGAATGTGCGTACCAACTTCCAGAAGAAACTGCTCATGGTGGAACTAAACTGGATGAATTCGGATGCCCAGACGGAGATAAATATGTTTTTGCGAGCCACCGAGATGAATCCGTCGACCATCAATTGTGGTGGCTTCTTCGATGTGAACAGGAGTCTCTTCAAGGGACTGCTAACCACAATGGTTACATATCTGGTGGTCTTGCTGCAGTTCCAGATCAGTATTCCCACCGATAAGGGGGATTCCGAAGGAACTACTAACATTACTGTGGTGGACTTTGTGATGGACAATCTGGATAATGATATGAGCCTGACGGGAAGCACCACTGGGAGCAGCAGCAGCACTACAAGAACCACTTTGGCACCACCAATTAACAAGCAAAAGGCACGAAAGGGTTGAAAAACGAGTGAATCAACAGCATTAGGCTAAATAGATAACAAAAATATTATACATTTGAGATAAAATGCATCTGTAGCTGAGGCCAAATAATAAAAGCACCTAAAACTACATATATCTATCAAATACTTTAACATCTTTGTAAGGTATGTAACGCTCTTTACCTAACTCAAAACATTTATAAGGTAAAAATAATTCAATTAATATGTTTTTTATTTTTTTTTAATACTTAAACTTTTTTTGCGTGTCATATAAACCAAAAATTATATCATGTTACACTTTTATTTAATATTCATACTATTTCTAAAGCAAAACATTTAAAAGGTAGAAATAATAATACAAAATTGTTTTTTTATTATTAACAAGAGTTGAATATTTAGAACTCTTTTTCGCGTGACATATTAACCAGATATGTTACAATGTTTCACTTTTATGTGATATTCATACTTTAGTAGTTCGTTGCTAGAAAACAAGAGTACCTAAAATATTGCTAGTTAACTGAATTTAAGGCATATTTAGTTATTTTTATTAAAGTCTAACCAGAAAACCAACTTTTAACTTCGTTGCTATTGATTGAACGCCAATTTAAACCAGACAAGCTTTTCATTTTCTAGATTCCGCATTAAAATCCAATCTTACCGCTCTAAAATGTGGCGCATTTGTTAGGAAGACCCTAGTTCGAGTCCTGTTAGAAACTAAAATATTTTTTTTATTTTTAAAAATTTGTTTTCCTATTTTTCAAACTTGTTTTTAGGTGCTAGAAATTGAGTGGAGATTAAGTTCTACACAAAAATAGTTTATGTACTTGCCGGCAATGCCATATTGCCGACCGCGTTAAACCGAAACTGCCCTTGCTTCCTCTTTATTTTGGAACGTAGACAAGTTGTTTACGGTTTGGTATATGTGTTAATATGCCCCTCGATCCGCATCCTTTGGCTATCTAAAATAGTATCTCTTCTTCAACCATATCACACTCGGATTTTGCTATACAGAAACTGTAGTACAATTGCATTCAAGACACCTGATGGGGAAAAATCCAATCTCTCTTCATTCACTTAACACTGTCCATCGGGGGATTCGGTTAGGATGTGCTTGTAGCCATTGCTTCCCAAATACATATGCTCGCGTTGGAAACGATAGGGTATCTAGTGTGTAAGGAAGTTATTAAAGGATTCCGATACATATAATTTTACCAACTTACGGCTCCTGGAGCTGGACAGGGTATGGCCACTGTGGCAATCTCCCGAAGTTTGTTCATGGTACGCAAACTCTGGTAGAAGCTGTGCATCACATACCACTTGCAGTAGTCCATGCAGATCAAGATGTAGCAGACGATAACTGAAATATATTATATATATTATATAAAGCATTATAATGTAAGAGTAAAAACTCACAATAGGGCACCTGTCCGCCCAACAATTGCACAATCTTCGTATCCCTCAGCATGAAAACCAGAGCTCCCAAGGCCACCATCAGCAGGAACTCCACAATTAGCCAGGGAATGATTAGGCCCGGTTTGTTCTTGTAGACCCCAAAGAAAAGGGATATGGCACTCAGGGCATAAGTTCCAGCCACTCCAGCCATTACATATAGTAGGTTCTCCGTGGCAGCCGCCAATTGGGCGGCCGTTTGCAGGCGAAGATCATTGTGGAAGGGCGACATGTTGTAGAAACCATTGTCCTTCTGGTCCAGGATGTCCAGCTCCAGGACCTGGCACATCTGTTCGGCATGAGCCAATCCCAGTAAAACCAGGAACAGGGCGCAGTGCGAGATCAACTGGGTAAGATAAAATATATTTAAGGTTTTCTTTCCTTTGAAACAATTGATGTACATAAAAAAAAATTAAAACATTTAAAAAACATTTTTCATTTACAATATATATATTTTAATAGTCAGTCAAGTGTTCTAAACATTTAAAGACTTTCACTTCAGACTTTTAAACTCACTTTCTATTTGAACTTACTTTCTAATTGCACCACTCATCATAAAAATATATATATTTTATTAGTTGGTAATGTTAAAAAATTTTAACTTATTAAACATTTAAAGCTTCCCACTTAAAACTAGTATTACATTTTTACTAATTTTTCTGATTAAAGTTTATAGCAATTATCCATTAAATATATATACTTTAATAGTTAGTAAAGTGGAATTAAATTTTTTTTTAATATTTGCAGCTTTCCAGATATTGTGAAAACCTGAACAGCCCAGCGATCTTCGGAGGCTACTACCCCTATTAACCCCACAAAGTGAATGCGTGCTGCTCGTGTAATTCCCAACTGGTTTTAGCAGCTTTCTGCATGACACCCGCACATGCTCCGACAAAGCTTTAAAAAGGGCGCTCGTCCTGGCACGTTCTCATCACGGAACACAAGTGCAGACGCATTGCGCCGCAGGAGCGTCTCCTTCGCTCCGCTCCTGGGATTCCGGGTGCGGGCGGGGGCGAGCGTCCAATTGCCGCCCTTGACGTCTCCTTGCGCGCCCAGTGGGGTATGGCTTTGCATATCCAGTGCGTAATTTTTGTATTTGGGGCCGCGGCTGCAATTCCTGGATTGCTTGGGGATTCGGGACTCCCGATCCTCCTGCGTGCCAATGCGCTGCGCCCCGCCTTATAAATCCATTAGTAGAGTTTTAATATAATCCATATCTGTACCAATTTATTATAATAATATCTAGTTTTGTTGTTTATATTAATAGTAAACTAAATTTCATTAAACTTATTTTATTAAGTCCTGTTTTTCCTGGCTGCACGTTTTCTACTTGCAAGTCTACATAGGTATCTCTTGTATACATTTTTATTGAATAATACCTGGTTGCAATACAAATATATGTTGCTTATTTATATAGGAAGTTTGTTCATCGGGAAGATTATTAAAAAATCTCAAACTCTTAAACGTATTTTTCTTAATTTTAAGAATTCTTTTGCCTATAATTAATTTTAAACGGTTGTATATAATGAAACACCCACTCACCAATTGATAGATACTGGTCAGCAGGGCCGTGGTCCTGAGGTTCTTGGGCGATACGGGTGCCATCAGCATTTCCCAGCTGCGGCGACAACAGTTTTTCCATTTGCATCCTGCGGTGGACGAACCACTGACCGTCGGCAGCAGCATTTTATTGTAGTTTTCCCGTTTTTTCTCAATCAATTTATGGATTTTTCCCGCTTTCAGCTAATCAAAGAGCGAGGCAACTGTTCCGCGGCTGTTTCGTCATGCAATTGAATTGGAGACCTCTTCGCAAAAAGGTGGAAAGATAGAAACGGGCGACACCCACGCACCAAAAAACTTTTCCGGAGCTTTTTCTGTAGGTTTGGGTGGAAAACTGCACTCGCGAACTAATTAAAAAAAAAAACTATATGGATTAAACAATGTTGAGTGCCAAGGTCTGCGAAATGTTTTGACTCGCCGGAAAGCTCTTACGACTGTGTTTTGTTTCCCTTTTCTAGGGTAGAGTGTTTTGACTACGTTGTTATTGTTATTTGCAATTCATAAAAGGCAAACATATTTTCCATACTCCCAATTTTATGTTTCAAATCGCCTTATTATAATGATATTTTAACATCTTAAACTTTTAGTTTTTAAGTTTTTTAGTTTTAGTTTTTTTTTAATTTTTGAGATATTAACTTAAGGTACATTACCGGTCTTAAAGGTCTTTTCAATATTACAACAATTGTGTTTGCAAAATGTTACCCATACAGGCTATGTCCGTGTTTTAACCTATTGGAATTCCATATTCCAAAAAATGGTTCAAATATTGTTAATTCAACGCTTAGGATATAACACTTTATAAGTTATGTACCGATATTATATTACTAAAAGATTTCATTTGTCAAAAACTAGAATTATTTTACTGTTTGAAAATTTGTAATTTTAAGGGTATACAAACTGCGTAAGACTCCAAGTAAACCCCCTCTATAAAACATTTTGGGGTTGTTTTCCTCTTGAAATCGCGCAGATGTTTATCGGCAGAGCTTTTTTCGACTTTTCAAAGCTTCCGCCAGAGTTGCCACTGCCTTTTGCAACGTATGCAATTAAAGTTGAGGCGCGGGACTTCCCCCTTCAAACCGCCGTTGCTATGATAAATTTTTGCATTTTAAAAGTCAATTTACACTGGAACTATAAAAATGTAACATAAATTTTGCCAAAGCAGGCCATAAAACTGCGACCAGTCGGCGCGGAAAGAGAATCAAAGTCGTGTCGATGCCACTGGGCAACTGGGCAAAATTCACATCCAAACATCCAAGCAACTGAAATTTGAAATCTGGAAAGCCCATCATCAGCATCATGATGATCTTCGGGGGAACCCTAAACCTTATGGCGCTCCCTTCGAGTTGGAAGCTACTTGTGGGCCTAATTGATTGTTTTTCTACGAGCTCGGAGCTCCGTCGAAAACTATACTCCTTCAGGAGGATCGAGGATGGAGGACTGGGGATCATCTCACAATGTTGGGAAAACGAAATGAAGACCTCAGGGGCAATATATGGCCGAGCGGCTTGTTATCATTGGGCGTGTTTTATTAACTTTTAAGCTGCCATGCACGCGAGGGGCCATAAAAAAGTGCAACTGCAGAACTGCAAAAGTCAATTAAAAATTTTTTACATTTGTTTGCACACACAGGAACGAAAGAGTTTCTTTTTGGCTCTTTGGCGTTTTTAACCCCTCCATCCTGGCGCGATAATCATAACTGCAAAAAAGTAAGAAAACTACGCGCAGGCGTCGCCCGTTGATAATTTATGGCCAAAAAGTGGTGGTTAAGGGAGGAGGCAAGGGCAACGAGCTGGCAGTTTGTGGCACAGGTGATCCTGATCCCGTCCCATCCCATCCCATCCCATCCCATTCCGGCTGGTGTATTGAAATATCATCTTGCAACCATTTGCCGTTCAATTTGCGTTCGCAACGCTCTTTTGATTGGTTTTTCCAGCCCATTCACCCGACCGCCCGCTCGCGATCCACGCATTTCAACTACAAATTGATTGCCTTAAAGTAACTTGTAAAATGCATCTAAGAGATGCACTTCCAAAAACTCTTAGTCTTTGCAAATAACTGCTTTAAACGTTAAATTTTTTTATTTGAAATAGATTTCATTCTTAATTTAAAACAGTGGGCAGTAGTGAGAGAGTAACTATACACCAATATTTATGTGACGACAAAAACAATAAATCCTTGAGCAATAATTAATGATTGTCTAAAATATTATTGTATTTTTTGCGTTATATGTATTTTAAATACATTTTAAAATGTTAATTAGACTAAACCAAATATATAAATGTAAATTTAAACGGCCTTATAGCATTTATTTTAAAAATCCAAAAGGCTTTTTACTTCTTTGGTTTTACAAAAAGGAGCGAAAAATTAGACACTTGTATTTAATGGATCTAGTTTTTAATGAAAGAAAATTTTAAATATTTTTAAATGGAAATTTATTATAGGACTTAAATAAAACTAACAATTTTACCAATAAAGCTAAAAGAAAATTAAAACCAATTTACCTATTTTTAATTTTATTTTTATTTTATATGATAAATTTTGGTTTCTAGTACATTTTTATTTTGTTCTATAAATTTTCGACGCATTCTTTCAGTGTAAACATTCCCCGAAGTTCCTTTGCTGTCTTTGCTGCTTCCTGGGCTCCTCTTTCAGCCAAAAACAGAAGCAACATTACAAATGTGTGGCGTTATTGCCACGGGGGAGGAGTCAGGAGTCTGGAGTTGGGGAATGGGAATGGGAAATAGGAGTTGGGAGGCAGGAGTCAGGAGCATCGACTTCTTTTTGATTAAAAAAGGAAAAAGTGGGAGATTGAGGCGGTTGAGTTAAGGAAGGAGTTGGATTCGGTTGGAAGTGGATGTGGATGTGGATGGGGATGGGGATGTGGTTGTGCATATAGACTGGCTGCCCAAAAGCAATCGATGTTGTTAACAAGCATTTCAGCGCATGACAATTGGCATGCACACCTCCGGGCCATTAATATGCAACCGATGCTGACACATTTGGAGCTTGAGCTCAACTCCTGAGCTGAGCTGAGCTGAGCTGTGCTGCAATTCCTGTCATTCGGCGTTCGAGGGGATAAAGTGAGGCCCCAGTTATTTAATCACAGAAAATCTTTCGAACATAAATAACATTTCCCCGACCTATTTGCACAATTTGTTTGCCTGTTTTGACAGTCGGGCTTTGCAGGCATTTTCGATCTTATGGACCTCGATTTGATATAAAAGTTGTAGGCTTTTGGTGTGGAGAAGTAAAATAGATTTGGTATGCAATTGCACACGCAATTATTAAAGGTTTGTAGGCCTCTGAAAGTAATTAAAAATATAAAAACCCTACTACAAGCCAAATAAATTTATTAAGTAAAAACTAATACAAAGAATTTATTAAAATATAAGAACACCAACACAAAAATTACCGTATTCTGTTTTTTTTTTAGGAATTTTCAAAATGTATTTAGTTAAAAAATGTTTAGCACTTAGTAAATTGTAAAAGGTAATTATTAAAAAGTATTTAAAACCTCCTATTTATTTTTTTAAAGATTAACTTATAAACAAGACCTCGTTTTTGTGTATTGAATTTTGAATTTTTCCCATTTTGTATTTTAGTGAATTGAAAATAACTTCTTGGTGTGTTTATTCTCTTTATTTGTTGCAAATAAGACCTTCATACACCTCCCTCACTAGAAGAAATACTTCGTCCCATCCTATCAATTTCATAATTTCGCTAAGCATTTTGCACCTTCCACGGAATCCAGTCTCCGTTAAACATTGTCACGTTTATAGATTCACATGTTGTCGCCAAATATCAATTGTCGCACATATTTACATAGGCAATATATGAGGGGGTTTTAAGGGGTTTGACTACCCCCTTTTAAAAGGAGATGTATTGTCATCTCGGCGTTGGAGGTACATTTGCACATGGCTGACTTCAATCGCGGATTTTTGCGGTGCCGCAACGATAAAGATGTTGCCGATTGCGATTAAACATGCAACCCCCACCAGCAGCAACACGCACAGCAGCAACACCAAGCCCCGCAGCAACATCAATTCCCCGTAGCAACATCAGTTCCGTTGCAGGACAAACAAACGAGTGAGAAAACCCTCACTTACTCGAATCTCAAGGGTGTGTTCAATTGTGTCAATTTAACGCCTTTTACGGCCCACCAACCTCGAATCATTTTCACCCTCTCCAGCCCATGAAAACCCCCCTTCTTCAGCCTGTGGAAACCCCCTTTTCTACACTGATAACCATGTGGAATATTAAAAAAAAACATATGGTTATTAAATCCTTCATATTTAAATGAAATGCAAAATCATAATACAAAGTGCAATGCATATAAAACTTAAAATTCAAATATTCAAATATTCTATTATATATTTATATATTATGTATCTTTATCACAATTAATAATAACTTAACACATCAATTGATGAAACTCAAAGCATAAAATATTTCAAATGAGTATGAAATACTTGGAATTAGATGGCTTTTTTTTTACCAGTGCATGAAAACCCCCTTTGAGCATATGAAAACCCCCCTTGAAAACCACCTTTCTAATGCCGTTGCACGTTGAGCATATTAATTATTGCAGGGCAACGGTTTCAAATAGATCGCTGATGT